AGAGGTGTGTTTTTCTCTTAAATGTCTCTGGAGTGTTAAGGAGAAAATCTACAAGTGCAGACATTCTTCTCCAGCCCTTTCTCTGAGGCTGCAACGTAGAAACCCCCAAAATGAATCCCTCTCAGCAGCCCCATCTGCCTGCTTACCATTTATCCCACTACAAAATCCAATAAATATTCTTAAAAATGAGGGCAATTTGGTTAAACAAAAAGAAAACAATGAAGCAAAAATCAATGTAGTGGCCTCACAATGTAACACAAAACTCTCACAATACAATAAATCTATCACCGTTCCAGTCCTCAGTCAAATAAAGGAACAAAAAAAGAAATATGTCAGGGAAGGATATATCTAGAGTAGTGGTTGTTTTACAATGTGTCGAGAGAATGACAGGGGTTCAGTTTGTCATGTTGCAACTTCTTTAAAAACTGCTTTGTCTTCCCACCTGCTTCTCTCTTCTCTCCTTTCACGGAGGTGATCATACTCTACCTGATCACAGTCTTTGACCTTAAACCCCTTCCCTTCCTCTTCAAAAGCTCCTCCTGCTCCTCTTCCTCTCAGACGGGGGGGGATAGTTCAGTCGGCGTAGTGCATGATGGACTCGACGTAGTTGCCGGGGAAGAGACCCGTGGTGCTGTTCATCACGCCCTCGTACCAGCCGTCGTCGTTCTTCTTGATCACGTAGATGATGGCGCCCTCCTGGAACGAAAGCTCGTCCTCTTTGTCGCGGCTGTAGTCGTAGATGGCCACCACTGAGGAAAAACAGAAGTTTACAGTCAACGAAACAATAATCACATCGACATCGAAACAGAAGAAAGATGCAGGTGTTTTTCTACATGTTAAAGTTGAAGGACAAAGAATTCTTTTGTATTTTCATGTTTTGCACACAAAAAATGTGTCCTGAGAAAAGGTGGGAGGGAGTCACTCAGACTTCACTGGTGTCTGGTCTAGTACTTCATAAAACTGCCTCATGATTGAGCGATGATGTTACACCTTTCTCCAGGTAGCTGCGTGGGGCCCAGGGCGGGTCCTCCTCAGCGTACGGGTCGCTGTACTCCACCACCGCCGACTCCTCTTCATCCTCCTCATCCTCGTAGTCCTCTGGCGGCGGTGGCGGAGGCGTAGGCTCCTCAAACACCGGCTCTTCGGAAGGCGGAGGTGGGGGCGGTGCGTCTGAGACTAGTTTTCAGGAAGCAAGAAGAAGCAGTAGTTAGAGGGGAGGAAAGAAGTACAAAGATGACTGCATCAGTCAGACAATGGATTGAAATTCACATGCATTAAAGGAAGGAACAGAAACAGACCATGCTGGATGAAAACAAACTTTATACGTCAAAACTCAGACGGGTTTGATACGACGGGTACAAAGGGTTCAAATACTGATTCAACTTGCATTCAGAGAAATTTAAGAAACAACTGGATGGTTGGGATTGCTGAGAGAAATCAAAGATTTATAGAAACATCATCATGCTCATGATCAAACACCAACAGGCCTCATTATTCATGCTTTAGGTGGTTTGGTCACCTAGAGGGGACGGATCACTGATGTTCACTAACTGCTGGGGAGAGGGTTCCAAACAAACGGAGGTCATGCAGATGGAGCGAGGAGCTAAAAGGCCACTTACTAGTCTCCTGAACTCGGGCCACAAAGCCCATCAGAGGCAGTTGCGGGGTGATCTGCATGGAGGGGGGAGGGGGCGCGAGCGGGCCGGCTATCACCGGAAAAAGTGAATAGAATAAAATCAACACAGAGAGATGGAGGAGGACAGGGCCAGAGAGGGTGTGTCGCAGAGCGACAGACATGAGAACAGCAAAGACACAAGAAAATGAGATTAGAATAAACATGTAAAGCACAGACAACATGCAAACACTGATTTTTCGCAAAGCACATATAGGGACGTCCATAGTTAGTAATGATTCTTTCCATTTGTGGCTGTGCTGATTTGAGCAGCAGAGATATTTGTAAAAACAAGAATTTATTAATTCAACTACTTCTTTTAAAATCTATAATAATGATGCAGGAAAA